ATACATTTTTACATTCGACAAACATTTATTGAGAATCTGCATCAGGTTCTAGGTGTGGACCTAGACTGTAACCTCCATGAGAACCCTGTGGGGTGGAGTTTTATCATCCCCATGGTACAGATAAGGGAATGGAACTACAAAGAGGCAGAATGGTGCAGCTGGTGAAGGGAAAGTCACTTCCCAAACCCAGGACTCTCTGTCCTTCGGAATCCACCTCTCCAAAAAGCCGTTTCCCTGGAAGATGCCCTTGCCTATGGGCAGCTCGGTCCAGCAATTTCCCAGCTGCCTCCCACACTGTAGGGGAGTCTCCTGCCCCTGCTCCCCGTGCTCCAGGAGTCTGTAGCGGGCATGCACAAAGGTCAACTTGGGCGTTGATGGACATGGTCTGGCCCAGGTGGTGCCCTGCAGCACTGGGGGCTGTTTCTGGACTTGTAAGCTGGTTCCAATCATCAGCAGGACAGTTGGAAAGCTGGGCCTTCATCCTTTCCTCCCTCCCAGGGAGCTGGCGGCTGGTTGGTCTGAGAATCGTGTATCACCCGCCACCTGAAAGAGATGTCATCAAGTGCAGAACTGTAATGATTCTAATTAAAACGCTAAAAAGCAAAGCTAAATCCCTAAGAGACAGAGAGTAGACCCCACAGCTGCCAAAACTTCAGCAGCAGCAGGGAACCCTATGAGAAAATAAAAGAAAGGGATTTTCTTGACAAAAATGACTTTCTAGTCATTTCTCTCTGGGGAAGGCAATTCATTTAAAAAGCAGGGAGAATTGAAGTGTGGAAAAGTTCAATGCCCATATCAACAAATTTACATTCAACTTGGTTCATATGTTATTAATACCTTCAAAAAGAGGTCAAACCATTTATTTCAACAGTATTTCTGTGCTTCAAATCATACTTGACTTGATGGAGCCAATGGTAAGATCCAGGGAATACAAGCAGATCTTCATTGGTGTCGGATTTGATCTTTCAAAAATCAAAGGCCCTGCAAAATGCCAACCGGTGATTGGTGCAAACTCCCCCCTGGGACATGGATCATATGGCAGTAGCACGTGGAATGGCAGAGTTATATCTTAAACACTGATGATTTAGTATTATTAGGTTATGACAGACGGCAGTGCTGTCAGTCCTGCTGGGCAGGGCTCGGGGATCAGTGGTGGACCCTCTGGAAGCCTCCCCTTAAGGCCTCAGCTTGCAAGGAGACCCCCCAGACATCCAACTATCCTGGAATATTTTTATCCAGGTGGAAACAGATACGGCTTCAGAATTTCTACCTAAGCGTTTTGTGGGGAAGGGGAAAATTCGGGTTTCATGATCATTATCCTCTTGGGGGTTCTAAAACCCAAATCACCCTGCCCTGGGAGAAGTGTGAAACCAGAGAGGCTGGAGCACGGGGCCCTCCGTGTTTTCCCCAGGGGTGCCCTGTACCAGGTGAACCAGGCGAAAACCCCAAACCTCCCAGCCTGCGGAAGGGACGCGACCACGCATGTCCTGCAGCCCTGCACTGTCTCATGACCTGGCGCAGACTCTCTTTGAAGTGCATTTGATAACTTGAGCTGTTCCCTGCATGCTTCTGAGCACGCTTTCTCCCACAAAGCGTTTGGAGCAAATGACTCAATTAACTTAAAATCCAACAGAGTATTGGGAAAAGTCTTTTTTTCTTTTTAAATCTTCTAAAAATCTTTCTAAGTTCCATCTGTGTTCATCAGCGTCAGTACCACGCAGATGTCCTTCTGAGACTGGTGTTAAGACATAAAGCTTGAGCTCCTGTCCAAGCAGGGACAGGGAATAGTCTGGAAATGCTGAATTTATTACACTGGGCTCATCCATAATTTATTTTAGACCCTCTTTGTTGGGGCAGAACTCATTGTCACGGGCTGATTTGAGGCATTACCGAGTGTTGCTTCTCTCTTCCTTAAGGGAGACCCTGAGTTTGCACAGGCCTCACCCTCCAGCCCAGTGCAGATTACCCCACACTGAGAGGAGAGGGGACAGAGAAGTGAGGAAAGGGAGCCAGGAGGGACCAGCTCTCTGGACCGCTGGGCTTTGTGACTCATTGCAGCAGGGGCTAAAAGCCTCACGTCTCTGGGCTGCTTCTAATATCCAAAAATGCTAGATGGGGAAATCACTAAAGATGAAAAAACAAACAAAACAAAAACATTTTGTCAAGTGAAACTATAGCAAGATCCAAGCAGACAGCATTAAATCTTTCTTCAGGCAGTTTAAATGTTCAGTGTCTAGAAAACCTTAGGTTTTATCAAAGGTGGTTGAAAACCCACGGAGAGTCCACTTCAGCACTGCAGAGGGGAGGCAACTGGAGCCCGTGGCGGGGCTGAGCGGCTCCCCAAGGCCACGCCAAGTCGGGAGCGGAGCCTGGGGAGAAGCACAGCCTTCCGGCCGCCTGTGCCTGCAGGCCTCCTCCTCGGGCTGCAGACTCGTTGCTTTCAGGTGGCCGTATCCTCTGGTGTGCCAACGAAATTGCATTAAGCCTCTTTCTCCATCAGCTCCCAGGGGCTGGAAGCCAGGCTGTTAATAAACTTCGGTTAAACTTGAGTGTGTAGGAAAACCAAAGCAGCAAAAAGACTTCTCAGGGACCATCGATGGGTCTTAACATCCTCACCCTCCCTAACACCCTCCTCCTTTTCTTCATGTCCATGAAGAAAAGATGCTTGTTAAATTGAGAAAATTCGAAGAGTTGGCCTTGACCTCAAGGTTTCCTTTTTGTTTTGTTTTGTTTTGTCTCTTGTGTCGGACAGCAGGCACAGAGACCATGTTGAATGAAGTCCTCCAATTCCCAGCACTTTCTCGCTGCTGGTCTGTGCAGGGCATTCCAATCACATCTCTTTACTCAGTCCTCCACTCACCCATTCCTTTCCTCGGGAAACAGCGCCTTGCCCAGAGAAGGGGTCTTTACTTCTTATTGGTTGTAAAATAGCCAGTCTCCGGCCATGCTGAATGCTGCAGAGCCGTAAAAGCACTTCTTACCTTACGGCGCTCCTCACAGACGTCGTGGTTGCTACAGATCGAAGGTTTGTGGCAACCCAGCAGCAAGCACGTCTGTGGGCCAAGTTCTCCCAGCAGTGTGTGCTCACTGCTGGTCTCTGTGCCACACTCTGGTAATTCTCACAATATTTAAAACTTTGTCATGATTATCTTTTCTATTACAGTGGTCTGTGGTCAGTGATCTTAGATGTTACTGCCATCATTGTTTTAGGGTGCCACAAACCACACTCATGTAAGACAGTGAACTCAGTCGATGAATGTTGTGCGTGTCCCAACTGCTCTGCTGCCTAGCGGTTCCCCATCTCTCTCCCTCTTCTCTGGCCTCCCGATCCCCTGAGACACAATGATATTGAAAGGAGGCCGGTCAGTAACCCTACGATGGCCTCTCAGTGTTCAAGAGAAAGGAAGAGTTGCAGATCCCTCACTTTAAATCCAAAACTAGAAGTGATTAAGCTTAGTGACAAAGGCATGTTGAAAGCAGAGGCAGACCAAAAGTGAGGGCTCTTGCACCAAACAGCCAATTTATTAATGCAAGGGAGAAGTTATTGATGGAAATTAAAAGTGCTACTCCAATGAACACATGAATGATAAGAAAGTGAAACAGCCTTATTGCTGACATGGAGAAAGTTTTAGTGGTCTGCATAGAAGATCAAACCAGCCACAACATTCCCTTAGACCAAAGCCTAACTCAGAGAAAGGCCCCAACTCTCTTCAATCTGTGAAGGCTGAGAGAAGTGAGGAAGCTGCAGAAGGAAAGTTTGAAGCTGGCAGAATTTCATTCATGAGGTTTAAGGAAAGAAGCTGTCTCTATAACACGAAAGTGCAAGGTAAAGTAGTAAGTGCTGGTGTAGGAGCTACAGCAAGTAAGCCAGAAGATCTAACTGCATTAAACAACATATTTTCAATGTAGGCAAAGCAGTCTTCTATTGGAATAAGATGTCATCTAGGGCTTTCATAGCCAGAGAGGAGAAACAATGTCTAACTTCAAAGCTTCAAAGGACAGGCTGAATCTCTTCTTACAGGCTAATGCAGCTGGTGACTTTAAGTTGAAGTCAATGCTCACTTACCATTCTGAAAACCCAATGGCTCTTAGGAATGATGCTGAATCACCCGAGTGCTCTAATAATGGAAGCCTGGGTGACAGCACATCTGTTTACAGTATGCTTCACAGAATATTTTAAGCCTACTGTTGAGATCTACTGGGCTCAGAAGAAAAAGTTTCCTTTTAAAATATTACTGCTCATTGACAATGCTCCTGATCATCCAAAAGCTCTGATGGAGATGTACAAGGAGATGAATGTTGTTTTCATGCCTGCCAACACAACATCCATTCTATAGTCCATAGATCAAGGAGTAATTTTGACTTTTGAGTCTTACTATTTAAGAAACATATTTTGTGAAGACTATAGCTGCCATATAGATACTGATTCCTCTGATGGATTTGGGCAAAGTAAATTGAAAACCTTCTTGAAAGGATTCCCCATTCCATATGCCATTAAGAACATTTGTGATTCCTGAGAAGAGGTTAAAATATCAATATATACAGGAGTTTGAAAGAAGCTGAGTCTTGCCCTCACGAGTGACTCTGAGACTTCAGTGGAGGAATTAATTGCAGATGAGGTGGAAATAGCAAGAGAACTAGAATTAGAAGCGGAGCCTGAAGATGTGACTGCATTGCTGCAGTATCGTGATAAAACTTGAACAAATGAAGAGTTGCTTTTTATAGATGAGCAAAGAAAGTAGTTGATTGAGATGGACTCTGTTCCTGGTGAAGATGTTGTGAACTTTGTTGAAATGACAACAGAAGATTTAGAATATTTCATAATCTTAGTTGATAAAACAGTGGCAGGCTTTGAGAGGACTGACTCCAATCTTAGAAGAAGTTCGGCAGTGGGTAAAATGCTATTAAACAGCATCTAATGCTACAGAGAAATCTTTCGTGAAAAGAGGAGTCAATTGATTCAGCAAATGTCACTGTTTTCTTATTTTAAGAAATTGCCAGGATGAAAGCAAAAATTGTTGAGCCATACAATAAAATAGTAGCCCGTACTGCACAACTAGCAAGACTTCAGGTTGCCTGTGATTTGCTTCGGAGAATTATTCGCATTTTATATCTCTGTAAGAGACTCCAAGGACAACTGCAAGGAAGAAGTAGAGAGATAACAAAAGCTGCTCAGAGTCTCAATGAACTTGATTATCTTTCTCAAGGAATAGATCTTTCCGGAATAGAAGTAATAGAAAATGATCTGCTTTTTATTGCAAGAGCTCGACTTGAAGTGGAAAATCAAGCTAAGCGTCTATTGGAGCAAGGTGTAGAGACTCAGAATCCTACTCAAGTTGGAACAGCTCTTCAGATTTTCCATAATCTTGGAATTTTGAAGGATACTATTATCGGTGTTGTGGATGGATATCGTACTACTTTAAAGGAAAATATCAACAGTGCATGAGACATCAAAGTTTTGACTCAGCCTTCTCAGTCAGCTGTGAGAGGGGGTCCTGGAGATCTACCATGCCAACCCCAGGAAATACTGCAGCATTTCGTGCTTCCCTCTGGACCAATATGGAGAAATTAATGGATCTTATTTGTTCTGTTTGTGGACAGGTACAACACCTACAAAAAGTATTGGTGAAAAAGAGAGATCCTGTCTCTCACATTTGTTTCATTGAAGAAATAATTAAGGACGGACAACCTGAAATTTTCTACACATTTTGGAATTCAGTTACTCAGGCACTTTCTTCTCAATTTCGTACAGCAACAGAGTCTTCGATGTTTTTGAAACAGGCATTTGAAGGAGAATACCCCAAACTGTTGCGTCTTTGTAATGACTTATGGAAGCGTCTTCAACAATACAGTCAAAATATCCAAGGGAATTTTAGTGCAAGTGGAACTACAGACCTCTTTGTTGACCTACAACACATGGAAGATGATACACAAGATATATTCATACCAAAAAAACCAGATTATGATCCAGAAAAGGCTTTGAAAGACTCACTGCAACCCTATGAGGCTGCTTACCTGTCAAAATCTTTATCGCAACTCTTTGATCCTATCAACTTGGTTTTTCCCCCTGGTGGTCGTAATCCTCCTTCCTCTGATGAACTTGATGGTATCATTAAAACTATAGCAAGTGAACTAAATGTAGCTGCCGTTGATGCAAACCTCACATTAGCTGTGTCAAAAAATGTGGCAAAGACCATTCAGTTATATGGTGTAAAATCAGAGCAGCTTCTTTCCACACAAGGAGATGCAAGTCAGGTGATTGGGCCTCTTACTGAAGGACAGAGAAGAAATGTGGCTATAGTGAATTCACTGTATAAGTTGCACCAATCAGTAACAAAGGTAGTTTCCAGTCAGAGCTCGTTCCCACCAGCAGCTGAGCAAACTATAATTTCAGCCCTAAAGGTGATCCATGCTCTTATGGGAAATGCTGTGCAGCCCGTACTGACTTCAGTGGGAGACGCTATAGAGGCCATAATCATCACCATGCATCAAGAAGATTTTTCTGGGTCATCATCCAGCTCAGGAAAGCTCGATGTTCCTTGTTCTCTGTACATGAAGGAGCTACAAGGTTTCATTGCCAGAGTTATGAGTGACTACTTTAAACACTTTGAATGCTTAGATTTTGTCTTTGATAACACTGAAGCTATTGCCCAAAGAGCAATTGAACTTTTTATCCGCCATGCCAGTCTCATAAGACCTCTTGGTGAAGGTGGGGAGATGCGACTTGCCTCTGATTTTGCACAGATGGAGTTGGCTGTGGGTCCGTTCTGCAGACGAGTTTCCAACTTGGGAAAGTCCGATCGAATGCTGAGGTCGTTCAGACCACTGCTCTTCCAGACAAGTGAAAATGTGGCCAATAGCCCTACACTGGGGGACATCATTCCATTCAGCGTCATTATTCAGTTTCTGTTCTCGAGAGCACCTGCTGAGATGAAATCCCCTCTCCAGAAGGCCGAGTGGTCCCACGCAATTATTTTCTATAAATCTAACCTGCTTATTTTGATAGCACCTAACCTTAATAAAGCCAAATTATACCCACCCACATATTCTAAGCAAAAAGGCATTTATGCCTCCACTTTGCAGATTAGTTACTCCTATGGTTGAAAGTGGTAACAGCAGGGAGTGGGAGGAAGAGGAACTTGTTAGGACTGCTGCCACCTCTCTGTCTTGTCATTCCTAAAGAAGATTCTTTATCATGTGAGGGATAGAAACAAGTTAATAAAGGAGTACATTATCTTTAAAGTAGAGCTTGAAGAATTCAATATGCAGGATTTTATATCATGCTAAACTTTAAATTAATCTCAAAAATTAGTCCCTGAAAATACTCAGTCATTTTGCTGAATTTCGTGTGTGTGAACCCAATATTGACAATGATTTGATTAACAATGTTAAAGTGGGTACCAAAATATTTTGCTGGTGGCAGTGTAAATTGGTACAACTTTTGGAAAGCAATATGGCAACCACATTTTAAGAACCATAAGAATATTCACAATATTTAATTCAATAATCTCTCTCCTTAGAATCTATTCAGGAAAGAGGCCACTCAATGCAGAGGAAAACTCACATGAGAGGTAATATTCATTATGTGCTCACTCCAGCGTCCTTTGCAGGGGGTGGACCATTTGGCTAAATACGGCCTATGCAGTGGAAACGGCAGTTAGATGTATCCAGCCTGGATAATTCGGTATCGGGTACGATTTACCTGTGGTTTCTCTCCCCGCCCACACAGCTGGGAGTGAAGGGGTCCAAGATTGCAAAGCACGTGTGGCAGGAGCACAGATCTCTGCGTCACTCTGTGCAGGGGAGCCGCCCAGAAGAGCTGCGGAGCCTGTCAGACTGTGTGAGTGACAACTAAACTTTGAGGGTGTTAAGCCTCTAAGAGGTTTAGGAAACATTTGTCACAACAGCCAGCATTTACTGCCCTTCCAAATCATGACATGTCCCATGAGATGTGTTTATAGTCTTCCTACTCACCCTATTTTACTAGAATTCTATTTTCATAAAGGATTGAACCCTGTGTCTCTTTGGAAGACACCAATCATATTCCCCAATCTCAATTATTATGTCTACAGTGGAAAGAGAAACGATGAGGCTCTCCAATAGGTAGAAAGCAAAACATGGCCTCGAACACTTGTGTTGCCAACTCGATGTTGCCTGTGGAAATTCAAACAGCTTAGCTGAATTCCAGATGATCTCTTGGTTTGGGCTTTTGTTTTCCCCTTATGTTGCTCAGTTTGCCCGAGATGCCTTTTACCCTCTCTTTGCCTGGCGCAATCCGCAGGTGCTGCAGGCTCCGACGCCAGTGGCAGCTCTTCTCTGAGGCCTTTTTCTTGCCTGCTCCAGGCAGAATTAATCACTCCTTTCCGGGTCCTCTCAAAGGTCATTGATGACCTTTTCAGTCTACATCCCATTTGATCTTTTTAGCAGGTGTTAGTATTGAAAACTCCCTCTTTATTTAAAAAAATATCTTTGAGATTCTACCTCCTATGGACTCTCTTCCTGCCTTCTCACCACCATTCCCGGCTCCCGGCTCCTCCTGCACCTTCTCCTTAGATGATAATGCCTCCATCTTACACCCTTAGCTCCCTTTTGACTTCGCCAATACACTGAAAAACCTCACCCTCTCCCTTGGTGTCCACTATCAGCAAGAAGCCAATGACTTCAAAGGTTGTACCGCCAGCTGAGTTGTCCCGGGCTCCAGCCCTGAATTCCAACCATTCACTGGAAATCTCTACCTGATTGACTTGCAGGCACTGCACGAAACAGACGAATTTCCTTCCTCCCCTTCTCTCAGTAGCACCCCAGTTGGTGGCTACCCCAGCTGGTAAGCTCGAGTTCTGTCCTCTTCCCTCTTCTTCGTCTTCTGCTTACGGGTTATCACCAACTCCTACTAAAATTTCTTCAGTGTGAAGAAAACGACGTAGATGGGCTTTGGTGACAGAGCCTTAAGTTCACAATTTGACGCAACCATTTGCTAGGGATATGGCTTGGACCAGGTTATTTAATCTCTCTGAGCCTCTAATTTCTTGTCTGCAAAACGGAGATAATTAAATATGGAACTCTTGGGAGTGTTGTAAATATTAAATGAGAAAATACATGGAAAATGGCCAGAGTAGATAGAACAGGTAGTCACAAAGTTTAATCTCTTTTTTTCCTAAATACCCACATCCCCACTGCCTTTGTTCACAAGATCATCGTCTCTCACCTGGATTATTGTGATGGCCCAAAATGGGTCTCCCTGCCCGGAGGGAGAGAGGGGAAAGGCTGATGCAAGGACACAGAGCTCTTAGCAAGGTGATGACATTATACCAAGCCCAGACCTGAGCCCTTCCCTCTAGTTACAAAGCAGGGAAAGCTAGGGAAATGTAATAAGGCAATCTTTTGGTCTCCATACATGTTTGAAACCAAGAGAGAAATCCCCCAGGTGCCAGAAATAAGAAATGCAGATTCAGAGAGGTTGGTAGGAGGTGAAACCCATGGCGTGTGGCCAGACAGCCCTCCGCAGGGGGTTGGGGCTCATATGCCTCAGGACAGTGGGATCAGTAGGAACAGGCCACCCCCAGGGAGGCTAGAACCTCTGACTGCATACAGCTACCTGCTTAGAATCCTAAAGGGCTGAGAGAAAAATTACATAAATTCTGTCCATTGGCCTGGATAAATGCTAGAGAAACTCACCGAGGGCATGGTTGGAAAAGGAATTATCTTATAGAAATTGGAGCCCTGGAGTCATACCGTGCGTGTGTTCAGCGCCCAGACTGAGAACTGACACAGGACGCAGGAGCCCGAGAGGAGACGCTGAGTGGGAAATGCCCTGGGCCGGGCAGAGGCGGACGCAGAGCCTTCCGCTAGGGCCACTTCCGAGCCCGACGTCTGTGTCCTGCAGAACAGCACCTGCCACAGAAGCGCTCTTGGTGGACAAATACGAAGGGTGCAGGGAAGCGAGTCTCGGGGAGAGTCAGCAGATGCAGGTGAGTCACCTGGCACCCCAAGTACCAGGGAAGGGAAGGAAATAATCCAAAGGCCACTTTAAGTGAACACCTGTATTACCATTAAAACTTTTTATTGGAAAATTTCAAACATACACAACAGGGGAAATAGAGAAGCACAATCCTCCAGTTTTAACAAATATAAACTCATAGCCAATCTTCATAAAATAAATATTTTTTCAAGTCCAAAGAGATAAAGAAAGAAAGAGATGTCATAAAGCAAGGATGGAACCCTATAAAAAAGAGTGAGAGAGAGAAATCAACACAAAGAACGGCCTTGAAGGAGTAGAAATGTAAACTAAAGTCATTAAAGTTTTTTTAAAGAAACACAATATGATGGACACAACTCAACAGATAATTAAACTAGAAAATATCTCCGAAGAAATCAGATCAGAATCTAGTACAAGGGGCAAAATGCTGGAAACTGTGAAAGGGAAATCGGAGAGGCTGGAGGATAGGATACAATGTTCCGGAATAACCAAAGGGGGGGAGGCAGTGAGCGTCTCAAAACTGGAGGCAGTTCTCAAAGGTACGGCCCCGAGTCCTGGGCGAGGCTGCACAGACGAGGCCCGCACGCCCGGCCCGCGGCAGCGATGCTCGGCCCCGAAACAGGCGAGCCACGGAAGCACCGGCCACAGCGGGCCGGCGATGCCCGCGTCTCGCCAGCGGTCCGGCTCGTGCCCCCCAAGCACACTCTCCATTTCCATCTTAACAGGGTCGTTTTTCTTCCAAGCAATATGTCGGATAAGAAAACACACAAGCGAGCCAACCACAACAGCATAAAACACACAGACTTCTTGCCTCACTCGCGCCGTGGAGTGGCCACGTGGCGTGGCGTGGCGCCGGGGGCCAGGCTGGGCCTTCTGGAAATTCTTTCCTGACCCAGCATGCAGGGTTCATGCATGCAGGCCAGGCTCCTCGTGGGTTGCTCCTGCCATGAGAATGAGGGTTCAGGGAAGGGAAAAAAAGAATATTCAACTTTAGTGTTTAGTTGTAACTTTTGTATCTATTATGATGCATATCTTTAAAGCAAAAATAACAAATTTATAACATTAGCTAATTCTGAGTGATGGCCACATGGGTGTCTGCTGAAATTTTATCTGTACAATTATGTTTTGTTTAACTTTATAGGTTTAAAACCAAAAGGATGAAAAAGAATCTCAATAAAGCAGGCATCCCCAAACTACAGCCCACGGGCCACATGTGGGCAGCCTAACACATTTATCCAGCCCTCCAGGTGTTTTTGCCGCCACTGCCTGTCCTGCCTAGCAGCCGACTCATCCGGGGCCCACAGTGCACACTCTCCAACGGTCTGAGGGACAGTGAACTGGCCCCCTGTTTAAAAAGTTTGAGGACCCCTACAATAAAGTAACAGGGCCTCCAGAGACCAGGAGTGGGGAGGCTCCCAGGCCTGGAGGCAGGTGCCTTCTGAGGCTGTCACGACGGCAAGAGGGGAGGAGAAGATACCCAAGGCCTCCACTGCCTGCGCACTGCCCCTTCCTCGTCTCTTGCTCTGCTCACCATGGCCCCAGCACTTTGCGCCAGACCCTCCTTTCCTGCAAGCTCCCCGATCACTGGCCACGGTCTCTTCATTTCCCAACCTGAACACCCCAGGCCTGTCTTGGCTGGCTCACCTTTGCAATCCAGGCCACAAGTCCCGGAGCCCTGAGTGAGCTCTGGGCTGGCTGCCCTGAAGTCAGTGTCCGCCCCCTGGTCCACTGGGGCGTGAGCCAGGGACGGGCTGGCGAGGCCCAGCTTGCGGGAGCAGCATCGGCAGGGTGGGGGGAGGAGGGTCCTTTTCCAAGCACAGCCAGGCTGTTCCTCTGCCTGGAGCACCCTCCCCCTCGCCCTCCCTGGCCTCTTCCCTGTCCGGCGAAGTGTTTTGCAAGGGGGAATCAAACGTCCCCACAAGGCCACCCTATGCCCCAGGCGCAGCAGCACCTCTTTAGGCTTCTGCCAGCACGTCACACCTGCATGGAGCGCGGCACCTACACACGGAGTCACGGTTGTTTGTCACTCGTGCATCTCCTTCACTAGACTGTGCGTCACTCAAGGGCAAAGACTGTCCCTTAGCTGTCCTGTACTCCCAGAGCCCAGTCCCAGCCTGCAACGTGGGAG